TGTTATATATATATGATATATATATATATTAAAAAAGGGGACACACAGCTAATTAATCGGGCAGTTGGATGCCACTTGTGGAAGCTTCAAGGCGTTGCGCCCAGGGCAGTTCAGTTACGTGGGACAGCCTCGCTGGTGGTTTTGATGTCCTTCAGGAAGGCGATTCAGCCGCCCACAAACTTGACCGGTTAGCGTTCAGAGCCCAACCTGCCTTTCTACCAGCTGTCTGTTGTTCCCAGCACCCCTCCCCCTCCCGACCCGTCCTTTGGGGAGGTAGATCTCCCGAGCCTGAGCACATCGAAGAGATCCCGTTCGAATTTCTTGCCGCTGCCTTGAATCTAATCTATAATCCTCCCAGATCTGTCTGCACCCTCTGTTGACACCCGCCCCCTCTTTCTTTCTCTCTCTCTCCCCCCCCCCGCTGTTTGATTCCCCTCTAGTTAAAAAAAAAAGGGGAGCCAATTAAATCAACTGTGCTTGAGCGGAGTCCTGCCTCCTGCCCAATCCCCCTGCTTCCCCCAGGACCAATTAGAGAAAACAAAACAAGGCTTAGAAGAAAACGGATCTGTCTGGTTCTTTTTTTTCTTTCCTCCTCCTTTTCTTTGGCATTCCTTTCTTCTTTCCTCCCGCTTTCCCTGGCAAAGAGCTGTCACAAACCAGCCGAGGCGTCATCCATCCTAGAAACACGAAGAATGTGATCGGCTCCACCGCTTCGGTACCCAGCCTCGATCTTCTAAGCAAAGCAGAGGGTTCGCGGGGAGAAGTCAGGAAGAGAACTAGAGGGAAAGCGAGTGGAGGAACCGAGCTGGCATTCTCGGGCTGCGCAACGGCTCTGGGACCGCCAGCCCAAACTGTAGGTTTGCAGGGCATCGTTCGGGGCACGTGGACCCCGTGGGTGTGCGCACGATGTGCCGGTGTGCTATAAGCTTGCCCTGTGTGTATATGTTGGTGCACGAGCGTGCGCTTGCACCTGTTGGCCATCTAAATACGATGAGCCAGGGAGCGAGGATATCCATGCTTACTACGTGCCTGTTAGTGATGCAAGGCGAGTGCATCCCGCACGGGGGACGGGGGGGGGGACGGACGCACTCCGTTCAGTACGTGTACGTGTGTTTATAGGTTATGTCGCTCAGCCTTGCGGAACCTTCCTATACCTTTTGCACCCCAAACGGTGAGAGTTCATGCGCGCCTCAGTCCTGTGAACGAGCGCAGTTTGCTCGGTTCTCCGAATCGGTGGCAGCAAAGCCTGCCGTCTGTTACTTTGTCGTAAATCCTAACTCAAGCGGAGATAGATGGCGAGCATTCCGCCGCGTGTGCCAGTGTCGAAGTCTACGCCTCCCCACCCGCTAAGTCCCCAGAGCCGATTCGAGGAACAGCAAGCCACGCGGAAAGGTCCTATAGTAAGAGTTAGCCCCTTCTTTGTAGGTGGTGGTGGGTGGGTCTCTCCTGGGATTTCAGTCCTCATTTCAAAAGAGAGCCATGGCACTCAACATGACCAATGTTCCCTCTAAGCTGAGTTAGTGTGAGCTAGCTCATATTTTTTTAGCCTCTGGCTCACAGATTTTGGTCTTAGCTCAGGAAGGACGGTTCCAGAGCAAACTGATTTATGCAGCAGCCAAATCACCTGCTCACGACTTTAATGCCAGTAGCTCACAAAGCAGAATTTTTGCTCACAAGACCCCACAGCTTAGAGGGAACATTGAACATGACCCTTGCTTCCTTATTTCAGACACTACCGGTTATGTGGTTTATGTATCCTTGATACTTTTTATACCTCCTTTAGCCCTGGAGTCCAAATCATACTTTCCTTTTGAGTGAGGAGGTTTCCTTGTGATACCACAGTCCTTGATCATCTCCTTTTTGTCCAGTAGGTCAGGAGGACACTCTCTCCTTCAAACACTCCATTATAAGCTTCCTATAGAGGTTCCCTTCGGTGGCGGAGGAGGAGAGGTGTTAAATCAAAATTTCCTTGGGGAACAAATCCTTAATTTTCATCTTGGCATCAGGATTTTCCTTTCTTACAGATCGCCCTCCCCTTTTAAACAGATGGGGCTAAATTGTACAGAGAATATAACCTGGGCTGTTAAAATATTAATCGTGAAGCTCCTGGCCTTACAGAAAATGATGGTGCAGAATAGTTCAGTTAAGTTTATTCTCTGTTCAACCTAAATATTGTTTCCTGAAATAATCGAGCTCCCATCCCACTCTTAAAATAGCACCTGTAAAGTATTATTTGATCCTAGTACATTAAACAGATTTGAGCTACCTGAAAGTAATGGGGAATGGTATATCTTGGTATGAAACCTTGGTGGTGATGGGAAATGGTGCTGTTATTGTGAGTGTTTATTCTTCCTCCTGAACTCTTGACAGAGAAGAAATTGATTGCTGTTTTGATCATTACAGCTGAGTATCAGGAGGTGTGTGAGATGCACAGAGAGAATGTTCCTCTGTTGTGTAGGTTTTCTACAACTAGCAGTCCATCTGCTTTTCTTGCACAAATAAACATGTTACAGGACCTCTGGGGAAACACACACCCCCTCTCTCTCACTCACACACACACACACGGAAAGACACACTGAGTATTGCCCCTCTAGGATTTTTTTGTACCTTTCTGTCACTATCTATTGTCTTCTGCAGAGGGCTCTTAGGGAGAGGGAGGGAGCCTGTGACATTTTGCAAGCAAGCAGCCCTTAGCTGGCCCCAGCACCTTCTTTGCTGTGAACCTTGACTACTGACTCTTTACTGTCATTACTGCACTCTTTCATTGTATGAGTAGGGCTTCAGCCACCAGGCTTTATATGTTAAAGAGAAAGAGACAGGCTGGCTAGAACCAAACAGGAGCAGAAGGTATGTGCTTCTCTGGCAGGGCCAAACTGGTGTTACCACCAATACATTGTCGTTACCAAATACATCATCCTTACAACTAGATATAGTGAAGTGGAGGCCTCCTGCAGCAGATCTTAGGCACTATTAAAGGGTGCCAAATTGCCAGGTGCCAAATGGCTGCAGGGTGCCATTTGGCACAACTCTTTTGCAAAGTCTAATTGCAATATATCTCCCCTTGAAATGTTTAAACATGGCCAGAACACACGTCTCAGTTAAGGAGAGAGACGAACAATTGCTTTGCAGCAAACTGGAGGTGTGCAATATTCAGAATTAGTCATTTACAGAGCTCTTGAAATGTGCCAGGTCCATTTATGTGCCAGTAGCTCATTTATATCCATTTTACAGGCACGAAAGAAAGCTGTCCCTTGCTATGGTGACTTATTTATTTGTTTAGCTTATTTACAGCCCAGCTTTCTCACTGAGACTCAAGGCGGTGATTTGCACCCCGATCCAAACCCAGCACACTGTTGGGTGAAACACAGCCATTAAATCTAGCTGGAAGAAATCAAGAAAGGTATATTGAAATCTATTTTACCCCAAGGCAGTGCTTGGTGTTCATTGGACAACCTATGGCCTTTTCCTTAGTCACTTTCTTTTATAGCAGCAGCATCTCTTGTGTAGTTATCAGCAATTTTATAAAAGGCTTTGCAGTGTATCATTAAAGAATGTAGCTGCCTCAACAATCACACCCATTAATACATCACTGCATACAATGGACCGCCCGCTGTGAGGTGTCACCACCATCACTCTGCTTCATCCCACTGGAATGAGAAAGTGCTGCAAAGGAGATGTGATACCCTGGGGAGGGGGGGGGTGTATTTGTAAAATGTAGGGAGGCAGGTATTGATTTGCTATATGAACAAGAATCATTCCCAGAGTTATGGAGAGTTATAGCCCGGTCAAAGACTGGTTACGAATTCACGCTGTAACAAATAAGCAGTTAACAGATATAGCTGCTAATTAGTAAGCAGTTATTTCTATTATAAATGGCATTCAGCCATGGAAAGGAGCCGTTAGCTTACATCAGTGACAGGGCGAGCAAGA